TCTACCCATGTATCCCATCATTAGGGCAAGGCAGAGTTCCCTTCAAGGCAAACATACCTGTGAATGTGTAACAATATTCATGACTGGGAGAGACATGGTAACAAGGTCAGCCAATGAATAGGCATAGCAACTAAGTCAGCCAATGGGAGCTCAAACAGATCTGAGTCTGTGCTGAGAAGAGAAACTGAAACTAGTCTTTCTGTTCTGAACTATGAAATGAGACTAACTGTTCTCTCCTGCTTGTGTTCTGCTTGTAACTTCTACCACGTTGAAAGAATCTTCTATTTGCATTCGACATTTATTCATCTGTTACTATGTATATAAAGAAGTTAAAGAATCCAGCTGAATCAATTATCTGGGTGCGCTTTCTGGATTTGATTTTTCTGCAACAAACTCTGACATAATCCGCCCATCTTTTCTGCTCTTTTCTTCCAGCTGGACAGCGCCACCTCCCTCATCCAAGCCGCTAAAAACCTGATGAACGCCGTGGTGCTTACCGTCAAAGCCTCCTATGTGGCTTCAACCAAATATCAGAAAGTCTACGGCACCGCCGCCGTCAACTCGCCGGTGGTCTCTTGGAAAATGAAAGCTCCGGAAAAGAAACCGCTAGTCAAGAGGGAAAAGCCGGAGGAATATCAGACCAGGGTGCGAAGAGGCTCCCAAAAGAAACACATTTCGCCCGTACAGGCTCTCAGCGAATTCAAAGCGATGGATTCCTTCTAAGGCTTCACCACGAGGGGTTTTTTTTCTATTGCCTTCCATGTTTTTGTATGCGTACTTGCCAACTTGTATGTGTCTGGCATAGGGAGGAGGGGGTGTTTGGGGCAAAACCAGGATAATAAAGCAGTGTCAATTTGCATGCGACCGAGACTCGATTAAGCCATCATGCAATATTCCTTCCCCCCCCCCCAAAAAAAAAGACATACGGCGTTTCTTATGTCGACTAGCGGCCTATCTCACCGGTCTCTTTCCTAAAGTAGAAAAAAAAAAACAGGACAAAAAAAGGCTTTATCATACTTTATTTATTTTTTAAAGAAGGCTTTTTTTTTTAGGGAAAAAAATTGCATTGTAAGACCGTGATAGGGAAGGAGAGTTCAGGATGGCAAGTGTGAGCTTCTTTGGTGCTCTCCGAGTGTAGTTTTCTTGCAGACGTTTCATTATCAATCTAGGTAACATCATCCATGCTAGATGGAGTACGGTTTGCTCTCTATTTATATACAAGTGGTTTGCCCTGTGAATGTTCGCCTTGGTGCTTTCTTGATCGAGCTGTTATTTAAGGTTATCTTCTTTGTTTGAATTGGAAGGAAGTGTTCTGTCCCAGGCGTCCTTAAAAAGCGTGAAGCGGAGTCTTGGTCCGGGCAAAGCCCCTTTTATTTACACGACTGTGAATTCCTTTCATTCACAGTCAACGAAGCTTGGCAAACAGTCTTTCAAAGGAATATTTATCAACACAAACCTTATCTCATTTGGTGAGCTGCCAAATAATTAGTTTCCAAACACAGGACAAGGCAAAACTTGGCACAGAGTCTCTTCTAGTCACAAACAGAACTTTCCGCTCTTGAAACGACCGAAGGAACGGATTGTTTCCTGCAAAAGCCCCCTCCCCATTCGCTCCTCTTTTGTTTCCTATGGGAGGGGCCAATCACCTCCAAGGTGTGGCTTTACCCCCAAGTCGACCCTGCTTCCTTAGTTGTTCTTGTCCTCTGGCAGCTCTGCTCATGCCCACACTGGGAACAGGCTCCAGCTGTTCCTCTGCCTCACTGCTGTCTAACTCCCTCTCTGCCTCCAACTCGGAGCCCTCATCTGAGCTTTCCTCAGCCCCCAGGATTGGCCCATGTTCCTCCCCAACCTCCTCACTGTCCGACTCTGCTGCCAGCTCTGCTGGCCGGCGGCGAGCCACAACAGGAAGTACCACCAAGGCCACACCCACCAACTCTGATAGGGCAAACTGCTTACCTATAAACAGAGAGCAAACCCCCAAGACTGATGATGTTACTTAGTTGGTTCACAAAACGCCTGCAGGAAAACAACCGAGCTCCGAGAGCACCCAAAGGACCCCACAGCTCTACCCCCCGAGCATCAAATATTCTCTTCTATAGGGCAGGAAGAGCTTGCCCATGCCCGGAACGTGGAGGTTGGCAGGAACATTTGCAGATGGGAAATCTTTAAAGTGCAGTGGGGAGGGGGTGTCCATAACAGCTTGTGTTGCTTTTGTAAACTAGCCAATGTGCTTGACTGTGTGGCCTGAATAATGAGACGATTTAATTTTGAGCCCTCTTCATTACGGTATGTGAATTTTTAACCAAGACGGTGATTAAAAAAACCCCGAAACAAAACATGGAATGAATGCTTCCTTTTAACTCACTCCCCCCCCTTTTTTTTCTTTCTAATAGTATTAGGACGACAAATCCTCTGTTAATTTGAGCCATTGCCTTCTCCATCCCCCCCCACCGCCCCTCTCTTTCAATCAAACTTATTTTCTTTTTTCAGACTTGAGTTTCTTCTGGTGAAGTATGAAGCACAACATGGTGGTTGACATTGCCTTTTGTATTATTATTATAATTATAACGATTAATATTACTAGACATAGAGCCGGTGGTAGAATGTGTAAAAGACATGGGACATGTCAGAATTTAGAAACAAATATGTAGGTGTAGCTTTGGATTACAGCAAGATATCCAATAGACCATCATAACCGCTAACTCAATAAACTTATTTAACCTTGGAGTTCTCTGTATGCCTCATTTGTTCAACGTAAACATTGACTCCCTCGTCCTCCAGACACCGGCGGAAATCAAACTTAGATTGGGGCGCTTGTTGGCAGAACATTTTCACCCATGTACGAGTTCCAGTCTTCTCCCGTTTTGTACAGGTAGTACTCAACTTACAACCATTCACTTAGGGACTGTTTGAAGTTGCAATGATACTGGGGGAAGGGGAAGGGACTTTGGCAGGGGTGAAATGCTACAGGTTCGGACTGGTTTACCCGAACCGGTAGTAAAAAGAATTGCTACAGTATTTCCGACAATCAGCTGGTCGACGATCAGCTGTGATGCACAATTTATATTAGCTAGAATCGTCGGATTTCCTGCTCTCTAGCTAATCTAAATCGCGTGGCCCAGCGGATCCCCCCCCACCGCTGTTCTACTTTGCAGACTCAGAAGGCTTCAAAATGTTCCTTTTTTGGCGCTGCGCGAGCGCCTCAGACATGCAAAGTGCTCGCTCGGTAGCAAAGTCAGCAAACCTGTAGCAGACTTCAGAGGGTTACACCGCTGGACTTTGGACTGTTTTTCACAATTACGACTGTCGCAGCATCCTCATACTCACAGGGTCAAAACTCAGACCGAGTCATGCTTGTGACGGGTTGCAGTGTACCAGGGTCGGGTGATCACCTAGACCCGTGATGTCGAACCTATGACAGTCGTGTGGCACACAGGTGGCATACGGAGCAATTTCTGAGGGCATGCAAGGCGTTGCCCTGTCAGCTCCAGCACTCATGCCTGCTGATTTCGGCCTTCATTTTCAGCCGTTTTTTAGGAGAAAAAAAATACAACGCGCAAACCGAAAGTTGGGGAATGAACTTCCTGTTTGCATGTTGGGCTGTTTTTCGTCCTCTGGAGGCTTCTCTGGAGGGCAACAAACCGTCCAAAGTGCAAACTGGAAGTTCGGAAACAGACTTCCAGTTTGTGCATTGGGCTGTTTTTCGCCCTCCACAGGCTCCAAGAAAGCCATGCCCACATGTGCGGGGCAGCGGAGGGGTGGTGGTTAGTGTACGCATGCACAGAGAACATGGTGCAGGGTGGCATTAAGTTATGGGGGTGGGCACACTCATGCTTTGGCACTCGAGGCGAAAAAGGTTCGCCATCACTGACCTAGGCATTTTGACAGGTCAGACGGACAGCCAGATTTACTGAATAATAATCTGCACTCTGGCGGCTTCAAAAATATCAATATCTCAATAGAAAGTTGTGGAAAACCTCAATGTATAGATCCCTGTTCTGACCCCCCTCCGTCCAGTGATTAACGCCGACATAAGCTTACTGTTAGCCACGCTTTGTTCACAGCCCGCACACGACTCACAGGCAAGACATTGGCAGCAACCCAGACTCCCACAGATAAGATATACAATACAAACAAGAGCTTCTCCAGTGTGTTATGAACGGTTGTGTCCTGCAAAAGGTCTCCTCCCAAAGTCTCTTATATACTCTCTTGGGAGGGGCCAAGCCACAACCACCTGTCCTTGATTATCTCTTATGAGTCCGTCTCCGTAACTGCTGCCTCCGTTTCTTCTCCCTTCATTGCCTGGAGTCAGGGACAAACTCCCTTTGATCTTCCCCACTGCTCCATGCCTCAGGCGCCTCCTGGTGGCCAACCAGCCTCTCTGGTCCCTGCTCTGGTCCCAGGGTCCTCCACATCTTCCATAGCTGACTCATAGGGTCCCTCGCTATCGGAGTCCATCGGCAGCTCCAACAGCTCCTGTTGGGCCACAACAGATCTCCAACTAGCTTCATGCAATAGGCTGGCCAAAGTGGAATTGGTTGGCTTGAATTTCACCATTTTATAGGAAACACAACTATTGTGGGATTTAGTACATTGTATGAATCCAAAAGCTGGGTTGGCTACCCACTGCATTTACTCGGTAATGTCCTCTGCTCTACTTTTCCCCATTTATTTTTAGTAACTCAAGCTAGCAAATATACCTAATACTACTTCCTCCCCCACTTTTCACACTACAACAACTGGGTGAAATGGACTGGGCTGAAAGAAAAGGTCTGGCCCAAAGTCACCCAGACGTCTTTCATGCTCGAGGTGGGACTAGAACTCTCCATCTCGCCCAAAGTCACTCCGCCAACTTTCATGCTTAAGCAGGACTAGAATTCACAGTCTCCTGGTGATTGGCCCAAACCCACCCAGCTAGCCTTTATGGCTAAGGTGAGACTATAACTCACTTTGCCCTGGTTTATAAGGCCATCCCCATTAACCATTACACCAAGCTGGGTCTCAAGTCTCCATGCAATGAAAACGATGTTCTTTAGAGAGTCACACAATTAAATTGTTTGCACCGTTTTTGGAACTAACCATACTTGTGCATCAAAATGTAAGAACTCCTTTTGATGTCCATCATATTTGCCTCCAAGTACTTCTTTAAGACAGTGATGGCTAACCTTTTCGGCACCAAGTGCGCCAACCGGAATGCATGAGCATGTGTGTGCATGTGCATGCGCCAGAGTGCTGGAAACTCAAAAACCAGTTGGCCAGCATGTGCATGCCTGCTTTTGGGGCATTTTTTGCAGTTTTTCGAGGCATTTTCAGGCTGTTTTTGGGCCATTTTCAGGCCATTTTAGGACATTTTCTGGCCCAAGAAATGGCCCTAAAACAGCCCGGAAAACAGCCTTTTGCGGGGGGGGGGGGGTTGGCTGTTTTCCAAAGCTCCAGTGCCCACAAAAACCAGCTGGCCAGCATGCAAAAATGGCTCAAAAATGCCCTGAAAACGCCCCAAAAATGTCCCCCCAAAGCCCTGTTTTTAGCTGGTTTTTTAGCCGTTTTGGGGCTGTTTTGTGGTGATCCAGTGCCCGTGAAGAACAGCTGGCTAGAAACCATAAGAGGAGCTGGCAATGGTGTGCATGCCCACAGAGAGGGCTCTGCATGACACCTCTGGCCCCCGTGCGATAGGTTCATGTTCTGACACCCCCTCGTCCCACACCAACACACTCCGAGCCAAAGATACGTTACGGCATTTAATTAACAGACAGACAGGTCCTTGGCAGCAAACCGGCACAGACAAGCTTGGGCAGCAATCCAGC